ATTGGTACAGATGGCAGCTTGAAACACAGGGAATCCAGAATAGATTAGCTAGATAAAACCAATTACAAGAATCTAAGTATAGACTCCTCCCTGGGGAATGGACAGCAGAGAAGAGGGCGGAGGGAGATGTCGGACAGTGTAACTTATGGCAAAACTATAATAATTTATTAATTATGAAGTGTTCAGGAGGGAGGGGGGAAATGAGCAAACGATATTGAGGGCTAAAGTAGAGGGCAAATGTGAGATTGATGAGGGCAACAGGTGTATGTACATATGTGCTTGACTCAATGGATGTATATAGGGACTTTGATAAGAATTGTACGAGCCCTCAATAAAATAATTTTTAAAAAAAACTCACCATGGGTTTATTTTGGAATTAACAGAACAAAACAAAACACCCTTGACTTCCCTGAAGAATTAGTAGACTATCTTTTCTGATTATAAAAATCTTTTCTTTCCTTTGTTGTCCAATTACTTGAACTCAATGCCAAATTTTGATACTCCATGATGGCAACTTGTGACATATGTAAGTCCTTCCTGCATATGCCTTATATTTTAAACAAATTCTGTGTCAGAAAAAGATTTGATTTCAATAGGAACTAGAGGAAAAGCATTGCTAAGCACCTGTTTTATATGTGTTATTAAGCAAGACCTAGTGAGCCCTTTTAATTTTGTGTATTTCTCTTTTGATTAGAAAACTTTGTGTGATGTTATTCTCATGGTCCAGGAAAGAAAGATACCTGCTCACCGTGTTGTCCTTGCTGCAGCCAGTCATTTTTTTAATTTAATGTTCACAAGTAAGTATCTTTAAATAAAACATGTCATGATTTTTTTCTGTAGGGTCTTTTAAACCCACTGCTACAAAGTCAATTCCAACTCATCGTGAACCCTATTTAGAATTTTTGAGGCTGTATAAGACTTTATGGGAGCAGACAGCCTCATCTTTCTCCCTTGGAGCAACTGGTGGGTTTGAACCTTTATTTAAAATTGGCACCATGCTTCCTTGGGTCTTCTCAGGCCCTTCAAAAAGTCCATGAATAAATTGTGCTAACTTTTCACTCCATCTTTCCATGAACTTTTTGAAGCCCCTCATATATGAAAATATGCCATTTCCCTAGTTTTACAAAGCACTTAAGAACCGTTGGGCCCATAGAACAGTTAAAAAAGGTTAAAAATAGCATGATAATTCATCATTGAAAAATGTACTTTAATTGGATTTAAAGGGCAAATGCTTTATTGATAGAGATAAAGCATCTGCTTGAATGCCAGGTGTTATTTTTAACTTCAGGTAGAAAGGCAGATGAGCAGATAAGTCTCATGGCACATTATTTAGCACATTAAGCTTAAAAAGGGAAGAAAGAAGTGAGTTCTAGCTTGTACTCAGTAACTTATGAGAGCTGGAACCCAGCGAGACTGCCTTGTTTTTCTACATCTTTCACATTTTCCATCTCTGACAGAGGACAGGCTTACCATTTTTCTAAATCTTGTTTCAATGGAAAATATTTGTTTTCCTTATGTGACAGATTTCTGCCTTATATAGGTTTCAACTGTCACATGTTTTACTGCACTCGAAGAACCCTAGGTTTGGAGTTGACTACTGAGTTCCAAGTTGTGGGTCTTCTGCTCAGTGCTGTTTATGAATTTGATTGGGTTAAATCATTTATGTGCCTCAGGTATTCTCTTTGGGACCCTGGTAACCTACCAAGGTTTGTAGGAGGTGTGAGATCTTTGCAGGCTATAGTTGACGTCTGTATCCCTGTCATTGTGTCTTAGGTTTTATTTGTGCTATAATTAGGAAATAATGAAATATCAGAAACTACACTAGTAATTTCAGTAAAATACTTCATAGGCTTGTTCAAGCTACATCAAAAGAACATTGCTAATTGCAATTTAAAAGAGTACTACTAAATTACTTTGCAAGATAAAGGATAAACTTAATCTAGCTTTAAGACTTTTCCCTGGAGATTTTTTAAAAGAAGAGGCCTGGGGTAGGGTGCACTGGTTAAACACGCGGTTGCTAACTGAAAAGGTCCGCTGTTTCAACACATTTCAGTGACTGCACAACTGCCTGTCTGCTTCCGCGAAAGAAACCTTGTTATCACACGGGGTCACTATGAGTCAAAATATACTCAGGAATATACGACAACACACCAGTTTCTCAGATTACGTTCATGTAAAGCACTTGTCATCTGTAGACAGTGAATTTGCATTTATTATAGGAACATTGTCTTTCTGGGGTATTTTCTCCCAGAGAAATTAATCCTGTGAGTTTTCCCCATATTTCACATGGCCTGGAATGCTCTGGTTCCTCAGTTACCCTAGTGGTCGTACTGATGCTGTTCATGCTTCTACCTTTCCTTTAGCTAACATGCTTGAGTCAAAGTCCTTTGAAGTAGAACTCAAAGATGCCGAACCTGACATTATTGAACAACTTGTGGAATTTGCTTATACTGCTAGGTGAGTTAAAGTTTGTGATTTAGAGGGTTAAAGTTGACATCTGTATTGGCAAAGCAAAGTATTTTGTTTTGTTTTTGGCAAAGTATTGTTGTAACTGACATCCACCAAATTTTTCAGAAAAAAGAACTGTAAGGACAAAAAAGGGGGTTGGGAATTCTATAGCATATTAAGTATAGGAATGAAAACATTAATTTTAGTTTAAAATTAAGTGCTAGTAGAATATAATCTGTTGTAATATAATTTAAATCATGAAGAAATGGTGGGAAATTAATAGTCACTTTAATTTTCAGGATTTCTGTGAATAGCAACAATGTGCAGTCTTTGTTGGATGCAGCAAACCAGTACCAGATTGAACCTGTGAAGAAAATGTGTGTTGATTTTTTGAAAGAACAAGTTGATGCTTCAAATTGTCTTGGTAAGAAATCAAATAGGTGTTTTAATAAGGAAGAAAATAGTCATCTGACCTTATTGATGGTTGATCCCCTAGTAATGAATTTTAAGAGGAGCTTGGGAGGGAGATATTTTAACCTGGGCAGTAACTAATCCATCAAGTGTAAACTCTTTCCAGAATAAAATATGACTTTAATCTTTTTTTTTTTTAGTATCTAGGCTAAGGAGTAAAATTTACATTTTGTGGTGGTATGGTATACAATATAACATAAATATGAATTTTTGATTTTGCTTAAGACTTTGGTATGCCAAAGTCTTTGCTACATATTTTACTTGCATTAACTCATTTAATCCTCACAGAGATATCATCTCCACTTCGCAGATGAGGAAACAGGTTATGCAAATTGCTTGAGGTCACATAGCTAGTCTATGGAGGAGCTAGGCTTAGTGTTCATGGCAGAGGGCTTAAGAAAAGGAATTGGGCTGGATGGAAGCAGGGAGGGGAGCAGCTATGCAGATGAATATACTGATGAAAAATGTAAAAAGATAGCCGTGCATTCACATCAGGGTTGGGGGAGCTTTTTTCTGCCATAGACCGTTTGGAAATGTAACAGCATTCATAAGCTACGGTGGTCAAACATAACTAACTCATCCCTAATGTGATGGCTGGGACTGCCTCTCTTAGGTCAGGGGTAAGTGTGTAGAGCTGTTTTTGATGATTTAAAGGGCAGGACCCTCCCCACCCCTGGTCTACATATTAAAAAGATCCCTGTAATGGGACCTAAATGCCTAGCTTCCAGTCTCTGTATAACGAAGACAGCCTACAATCAGTCCCCCATCGCTTTGGGACATAGTTTGGGCTCAGTTCATCAATAAATATATGTAATCCTGATTCTTAAGTTTATGTCCCCCTTTATAAACAAATATTATTATAAAACACGATAATGTAATTAAGGGAAATCATGGAAGATGATGATTTGTGTCTATTTCTCTCACTTCCTAGCGCTCTAAATTTCTTACTTATTTGATTCAACTGGAAGGAAAAACAGATGTACTAGGGAGCAGATGTGGAGGTAGAAAGCATCTGGAGTGAGTTGGTGCTAAGCATATGAGGCCTTCTGAGGAAACCAGCTAAGAGTTTTACCTGGGGGGGATGGCTTCTGTCATCCTTGTTGACAAAGCTCGGAGGGAGGATAGCTCAGCTACCCCAAACCTGGCTAAATCTCGGTGAAGATAGTGACCCAGCCAGCTGAGCTGCTGCCTGTTTTCTGTTTAGCCTTGGATGTGACTCTGAGATTCAGATGGAGTAGAATTCTATCTTAGATTTCACTACTTGAGAATTAGCTACTGTCTAGGAGATCACAACAATCTGTCTTTCACAAGTGCTAAAGGCACTAGGGCAGCTTATGGAACTGGGAAAAGATCATATAAAGTTAAAGGAAACCTAGTAGTTTCAAGAAGAGGAAATCAGTTATTTTGTTTGTTTCAGAAACATTTTGAAGCTTTTGAGAATTAAGTGAAGGTTTACAGAATAAATCATCATTTTTTATAAATTTTAGTGATTAGCCTCTTGTCTGATATGTCATTGACAATTTTCCCTCGATCTATGACTACTCTTATGGTGAGGTCTTTTGATGCGCGTAAGTGTCTTTATTTTTAGGAGGTCTCGATCATCTGGGGGTTTTTTGTTTTTGTTTTTTTGATCATCTGTTTTTTACCTGTGTATTTTTTCATTATATTTGTTAGTGTTTTTATGCCACATATTAGGGCCCCTAAGCCTGATCCTATTATTTCATTGATGACCTTTAGAGTTCTAGGGATTATATTTAGGTTTTTAATCTATCTTGAGTTCTTTTTTGTATATGGTGTGAGGTAGGTCCTATTTTCATTCTTCTGCAGATGGAGATCCAATTTTGCCATCACTATTTGTTCCATTTAATGTGTTTTGACCTTTTATGGGAGATCAGCTATCTGTAGATGAATGGATGAATGGATTGATTTCTGAGTTCTCTGTTCTGTTCCATTTGTGTATGTGTCTACCGTTTTCCCAGTACCATACAGTTTGACCATCATGGCTATATACCATATATACTCGTGTATAAGCTGAATTTTTTGGCACTTTTTTTTATGCTGATTTCACACGTTTATTCATCAAAGGGATAGCACATTTTATAGTCAGTATATATTCTAACTTAACATTTTGGCATACACAGTCACACATTAGGCAATAATACATCAAAGGTGGCTTACTTTACTGGTAGAGAGCTCAAAGTGGCGTGGTGTCCTTTCTAGGTCTGCCACCGATAGGGTTTTTATACATTGAGGTAAACAACTTTACTTAGTCACACATTACGTCAATGGCCTTGTCTGGTAGTTTTTTTCAGCACATTTTTTAATGCCATTTTTGTGGTAAAATTAGGTGCCTCCGCTGATATTCAGGTCAGCTTATACTCGAGTATATACAATAGGAAGTTTTGAGATTGGGAAGTGAGAGGTCTCCTATTTTGTTGTTCTTATTTTTCTGTACTTTATAGCCTACACCTACTCCTTATGGGAAAGAAAGAAATTTGTTATTGTTCTTATATATAGACCTCAAATTACACATGTTATATTTAAGATGACTAGTAGTATAATGGGTTACAAGTTATCTGAAAACTGCAAGATGCCCCACAGGAGAAAGATGAGGATTTCTATGCCTATAAAGAGTTATCGTCTTGAAACCCCCAGGGACAGTTCTAGTCGGACCTATAGCGTCACCATGAGTCAGAATTCAATGAATAGCAGTGTGCTTTCTCTTAAGTAATACTTTGCTTATCCTAGGTCTCTTTCTTTTCCATATAAAATTGGTGATTAGTTTTTCTTTCTTTAATGGATGCTGGAATCTGTATCAGAATTGCATTGTATTTATAGATTTCTTTGGGTAATATTAAGGAGCCCTGGTGGCATAGTGGTTCCATGTTTGACCGCCATCAGCAAGGTCTGCAGTGTGAAACCATCAACTGCTCTGCAGGAGGAAGATGGGGTTTTCTAGGCCCATAAGCAGTTAAAGTCTCAAAAACTCACAGGCGCAGTTCTACCCTGTCCTATAGAGTCGCTATGTGTCAGTATTGACTTGATGGCAGTGAGGTTTTGGGGTAGTAGTAAATGGAGCACTGATGACATATAGTGGGTTACTCATTGGCCTGCTAACCACCAGTTCAGCAGTTCAAAACTATCAACTGCTGTGAGGGAGAAAGAGGAGGCTTTCTACTCCCATAAAGATTTACAGCCTCAGAAATCCTCAGGGTGTGATTCTGCTCTGTCCTGTAGTGTCGCTATGAGTCAGAATTGACTCAGTGGTAGTGAGTTTAGTTTGTTGGGTTTTAGGGTTTTTTTTTTGCAGGGTGGGCGGCGGGTAGAGGGAGGTGTGGGTTGAGTAGTATTCACATTTTCACAATATGAAGTCTTCCTTTCCATGAATATTGTATCTTCCATTTATGTAGATCTCTTTTTTGTAGTAATATTTTATAGGGGTTTTTTGTATAACTCTTTGTTTTTCTGGTTGTTTAATCCTATGTATTTTATCTTTGGAGGGGGGCTATTGTAAATGGTATTGTTTTCTTGATTTCCTGTTAAAAGCTTTCTTTGTTAGCATATAGGAATTTGATTGATTGATTTTTGTATGTTAATCATATACCCCACGGAATCAATTAGTTTCAACAATTTTCTTACCAAGTTTTGGGGCGTTTTCTGTGTATAGAATTATATACTTAAGTAGAGAGTGTTTCATTTCTCCTTTGCCAATTTGATGCCTTTGATTTCCTTTTGCCGCCCAATACCTCTACCTAAGACTTAGAGTACAATATTAAGTAGGAGTGGTGATAAAGGGCATCATTATCCGATTCTTATTTACAAAGGGAATACTTTCAGTTTAGGGGGGAAAAATTCTTAAACAGTCAAAATGGTGGTTCAAGTAGTCAAATTTAATGTGTAAAATGAAGGGTTTTTAAAAGTAGAAAAGAGCCATCTTGGAACCTACAGAGGCCTGCTGGTCTGTGTTTGTCTGGGTAAACTAGAAAAACAAATCCATAGACACTCATATGTGTATAGGAAACAGCTTTATATACAAGAGCAGTTGAATATTGAGAAAAATCCCAGCCCAGTCCATAAGTCCAATATTAACCCATATGTCCAATACCAATCTACAAAGTCCTCTTCAGACTCACGAAACACATGCAGTGACATCGAATGCAGGATGATCACAGGCCAATGGGTAGAAAGTCTTTGGATCCACTGGTGGTGTAAGCCTTTCAGCACTAGCAGGCGTCTCCACGTGGCTTCTCCAGTTCCCAAGGCATGGGGTCTATCAGCATAATGCCATGTATCTTGTCAGTAGAGCGTCTGTTAAGAAGTTTGAGCATTGTCAGTAGAGTCTCCAAAGAAGTGAGCCGAGAGAAAGAGTCAGTCTTATCTCTGGCCTCCAAGGAGGAAATCCAGGAATTCCCAGAATTCTCAGGCGAAGGCCAGGCCCACAAAGAGGCCTCATTGGCTGTGATCTGATGTGGGGAACAAAGGATTTCTCTTAAGTTGTCTCCCCAAAATATGTACCAAACTTAGCCGCGTTAGCGTAACTGTTCTTTAGACAGCGAAAGTAAGTCAGAGGTTATTCTCCTTAACATCAGTCATCTTTAGTGGCTAGACTATTAGTCTGACTCACC